AACGGAACTATCAACTCTATGCTTTCATCTACTCCATCTATCGTATAAAAATTACCACTACAGTCTGTTATTTGAAATTAGCATCTTCAACTATGTAAATCGTTGACTTCACGTAGAAGTAATACTAAAACATATAGTCAAAGATATAGAGACGCTGTTGTTGCCTCGAAAGTTATCTTAGACTTTCTTAAGGTTCAATTTACTTTGATGCATTTTTTAAAAATTCGAAAGCAGTTTTTTTCGTCGCATTATTTTAGATTGCAAAAAGCTCGCGTCATTTTGTGTAAAATATCAAAAGGAATCGAATAGTACAAGCTTTTTGCAATCTGAAATAATGCGTCGGAAAAAAGTGCTTTTAAAATTTTCCAAAAAGCATCAAAGTAAATTGAACCTTAAGGAAAGAAAGCCATCAGAGAAGTTGGGTTCATTACTATATGAAACCGTAATAGCTCCGACGATGGTGTATGGCTCGCAAGCCACGGTCCTTACGAAGCGGTCTAGGAAATCTTTAAGAAGGTACCAAAAATAAATCTACGGTCAAATTAAATCACTGTGTCAGGTGGAGGATAACTCGTCTTCAAAGGATGGTCCCCGATCGATAACAAAGTGGATCCGGATTCTTCAGTTAAGGTATTGGGGACACATTATAAGAAGACCTGAGAATCATTTGCTCAAGCTGGCTGCGGAGTATAGATTACCACACAAAAAGAGAGGTACACGCTAATCGAGTCAGTACGGTTTTACCGAGTTTTTGAATTGCGGAACTGTTCAGTAAAATTTTAAAAATCTGTGGAAAATTTATTAATGAGAAAATTTGTTCTGAACTTGTACATACTTATTTCTGTTAACCCCATTTAATGATAGAAAATTAAATTGGTCGATTTCATTGATTCCTTACGGATAACGGTCATTTGAATTTTTACCGACTTTTTCAGTAATTCAAAAACCCAGTAAAAAAATACTGACTCCTGTAAAAAATCTTAGTGTGTAGACCTGCTTTTACTTGGTGGGATACGAATGCTCAGAGTATGTGGAGATTTGAGAACATACCAGTTGAGGAATGGTACGAATTGGCAGACGACAAAGAAAAACTGGATACAAAACTCAAAGAAATATACAAGTTGCCCGAATCTGAAACGAATGAGGATACTCTCTATCTAACCACCAGCATATAAAACTCAACAGCATATTCACTATCTTTCGGAGAGTGCATCGCTAAGATTTTGGATCACAGCTCTTTCTGCATGATGGGTTTGACATTTTCGCTCCGCAGTGTTCGGACGGTCCCGGGTCGGGTCCTGATTGGCCTCCCGAGGTTTGGACTCGTTTAGTGGGGGACTGACTTGGCGCAGGCCGTTGGAGGATTGTATGGGGGTTGCTGTGGGGTATCCGGACTTCTTGTTCATTGCCTTCTGGCCTTTTCCGTGTTGCACTGTTCAAAAGTTCTGTGGAGAATTTTCTCAGCTATAACTTTGCAGAATATGATAGTCTTGTAGTATGGGGCTGCTGTTTTGTGGGCGACACTGTGTTCTGCCGTTTGACATAATAGCCATAGTGAACCAAATGATGGATACATATAATAAGCACTGCGATAACATTGACTTTACAATGATAAAAACCAAATTAAAGCAATATTTTAATTCCTCGCATAACGTCAACTAAAAGTAATGTTTTAACTTGTTCTTAAGACATATTATAAAAATATAAACAAAGACAAAATTGTAAAAATAGCACTTAAGACAACAATTGTAAAACGGTCTACACTGATTGACGACAAATAAATAAATAAATAAATAAATAAATAAATAAATAAATAAATAAATAAATAAATAAATAAATAAATAGATGTTGTGCTCTATTCTACGCGCCTGAAACACCAGTGTTGCCTGCTGGACAGTTGAATCATGGGGCGGTAGTTGCTTAGATCATTAATAGCTTTTGATGCTTACATTCTATCGAAAAGTGGTCTTACACAGAGTTGTGGCTGAGAGAGTTTGCTTCAGGCTCAGTTATCGTTTTTGAAGCGGAGCGATACGGTGAATTGATGGATGGATATGAGCAGAATGTTTGGTTTTCCCATAGTTATTTCCATGTAGACTTTGGACGGTTGGTGCCGTGTCTTTCTCTTACCGGATGGGTTTGGGTTTTGGGGGCTAGTCGGGGCCCGATTTGGGGCCGTTTGAGCGCTGTGGAGTGGAAGTGTTGGATTTTGCATCAGTCTAATGGGCATTAAGAGAGTAGGTATATCCCATTATTCAGGTTCGTCTGGCATACGTCAGGTATAGATTGTACATCGTATTGTGTATTGATGTTGTGTTAATCGGCTGAGCGGTTTTTTTTTGATGATTCGAGCAGACGTTTAATATTTTGTGGAAAAAAGTCAAACGGTTGGTTCAAGCCGTTAGGGCTGCTGGGAAGATTACCGAATTTACTTCTATTCATGTCAATGTCAATAGTAATGCTCGTCTGCCAAACAACGACCCTGTCAATGTCAATGTCAATTAGTTATATAATAAGCTTATTAATAGAAATGAGTGTTAATCGATTCTAAACTTTATCTAACCTTACCCAAAATTCGCCTTTAAAATACTATACTAGTTAGTTTGTAATGTGTTTTAAGTAGGTATCATAAGCATAAATAAGAATAGTTAATAATAATTACCAGAAATTACAAATGATAAAAATTAGTTTCGATAGACTTTTGATAGGACGGCATTAAATCATATGTTTATATATTAGAGATGAACTAGCCTATGGCTAAAAATCTCTCAAATAAAGGTTAAAAACAAAAAATATGTTGATATGTTGGATTTTCAATTTTTTCAATAACAAGCCTCAAATTTAATGCACTAAAGTTACATCTCGTATTAGATCATTTTCTATAGGAACTTACTTATAAGCTTATAAAAAGAAATGAGTGTAAATCGATTCTAAACTTTATCTAACCTTACCCAAAACTCATCTTTAAAATATTATACTAGTTTGTAATGTGTTTTAAGTAGGTATCATAAGCGTTAACAGAATAGTTAATATTAAATACCAGAAGTTACAAATGAAAAACTTTTGCTAGGAGGGCCTTTAATAATATGTTTATATGTTGGATCTTCAATCTTTTCAATAACAAGCCTCAAATTTAATGCAACAAAGTTAAATTTCGTATTAGATCATTTTCTATAGGAACTTACATATTAATATAAGCAAAATTTATATTTAAGTATCACCTTCTTTTCTATGTGATTTTTTTCTTTGCACATGATTACAATCCATCTCACATCACATAAAACCTTATTTAATATCAAATCCAACGGCATCGTTGATAAATAGCATTTTGAAATCATCACCATCATTCACTCTCACATTGACTCCACATAAACAAAACATCAATCATGGTTACACTGTATTTTAGTTTTTGCATACTTTCTAATTATGTTTATTATGATATTGACTAACGCTAATACTAATACTAAATAAATCTTTTGGAATTATTTTTATTATTTTTTATGCGTATAACTAAATAATTTCTCCTCAATATCACCTACCGTTCAACACTACATCGACCAAATTGAATTTGAAATCTGTTGACCTTTTTATTTTATTTTTACAGAACATTACAGTTTAATTAACACCCTTATTTTAGGACAGCGATCGAGGTCTCAACCCTTCAAGTCTATTTATCTACTTGGTTTTGCTGGTTTGAAAGTTACACTATTGTAGAAGTATGCAAATATTAGCAAATTTGTTGCAGTATAATTTGTATCTTTCAGATTACTGCCGATCGCGATGGAACCTTGAAGACACCTCAGCGGGAGTTCTGCCATGCCATCTATCGATTGGTCAAGGCGACGATGGATCGAGTGACGTGCGTTGTTCGAGTATCGGGGACACTCTCGAGTCCCTTTGAATCTCGAAGGGGGTTACGGCAGGGTGATGGACTTTCGTGTCTGCTGTTCAACATCGCGTTAGAAGGTGTGATCAGAAGAGCTGGGATAGACACGAGTGGCACGATATTCAGGAAGTCCATCCAGCTCCTTGGTTTCGCCGATGACATTGACATTATGGCACGGAACTTTGAGATGATGGCGGAAACGTACATCAGACTGAAGGCTGAAGCTAGACGGATTGGACTTGCCATCAACGCATCAAAGACAAAATATATGAAAGCAAGAGGTTCTAGGGAAGACAATGTTAGCCTCCCACCCCGAGTTCAGATTGACGGTGACGAAATCGAGGTGGTCGATGAGTTCGTGTATTTGGGCTCACTGGTGACCGCCGAAAATGATACCAGCATGTTATATCTTCATTTTATTCCAGCAGACAGCAATTTCAACATTTATAAAAAAAAAAATCTACATATGCCAGCAACACTGACTGGCTATGGCTTACCTTCCCTACTAACATAATTCCTAAATTCCTGAGACATTTATGAGGGGTCGTAGAGTTCTCTGCATCTCTCTTAAGTAAATGTCGGACTAATATACCAGTTGTAAGGACGTGGCCAGGACAATCCTTAACTGTTGGAGCGGGAAATGTGTTTATCTGGGAGATAGTAATAATTTCCTACTTACTATCTGTCCAGTTACAGATATTCCGTCTAGCTCTTAATAGTTTTGAATTCGTACCATCTACGATATTGTGCAACTTGTTCGATGCTAATGCTAATGCTAAAATCTCAATCAAACACGTCACAATTCACAGCACATCCGTAATCAGTTGTGGATGAATGATGATTTCCCCCAGCAGCCATCATGAATATAGTCATTTCCTGGTAGAAGCTTAACGTATGTTTCAGTCACATGGGAATATCACGGAATCAAGACAAATGATATACACTCCATCATTCCTCGAGCACTTTCGGCCAAGTTATTTTCGGTTGTCGCAGATCTGCGTAGATACCAATATGACATGCGGAACCAAATTGAAACGACGTTCGCATTTTCGTCAACATCCAAAGTGGTAATTCATCTGGACGTGTGACATATGTATGGAACGCATATACTCACTTGATATCGTTCTAAAGGTTGACAAATATGTGCCAATAAGGATTAGCAACGGAATGATGAACATAAATACTAGGGTGAAGGTTGTGTACAGTTGCTCCTGCCATCGGTCACTGTAGAAACCGTGCGTCACGCATTGGTAGAAGTCTTCCAGAAACGGTCCTTTCGCCACCCGGAAGATCATCCACTGGAATGAGATAGTAATGTTGGATATTAACAAACTAATATGATTTTGATTTTGGTTTTAGTTTATTTTTACCGAACGGAAATGTAAATTTCTTAACAAAAAAGGTGAAATCTGTAATAAATGACTTTAAGATTCGACAATATTGTCGGATTACTTTTCATGTTATAACTACCATCACTACCATCCTTGTAGATTACCTTTTCGTGGTGCGTAACTGGCATTAAGATCTACCACCGAAGCCTAGTCCGAATTACTTGAAACTAGGGGAACAGGATTTCTTTTGCAATCAAAGGAACACATCTTAGTCCTTTTTACTTGTTATGCCTTGTTGATAGTGACTCGACTCGGCTTTGTCAACAAGGGAAAAATGAATGAGGTGGTCATTTTTCCTCTACGTAATTACTAATCTTTTATTCACTGTTGTCTAGTTTGAGATGGTTAATACTAGGATTCTGATGCCTGGTCATTATCGGTGTTATTGCTTGATTTTGTTGCGAAGAAATCCGTTATTGACTGAAAAAAGTGCGCCTTTGAAGAGTTTTCCAACCAGTCTTGTGAACGGTCACGTTTATCACACTTTATTCGTTCAACAGGATTGTCAAAAAATGTATTTTGACATAAAGACATGCATCTCTTTTTTTTTCGTTTGACATTCATCTTTTGCGCAAATAAATACAGAAAATTTCAAACATGATTTTTTTGCAATGTGATCAACACATGATATCTATGTGTCAGACACATACTAAATATGTGTACACATATAAGTCATGTGTGACCTCACATACTATTCAATTGACACATACAATTTATGTGTACTTCTGAGTGGATTCTATTTATGTGAAATTGCACATGATTTTCATGTGACCACACATGAATAGAATCCGTCAATAAAAATGTGTACGAATTTACAGTTTTCGTAATTCTTCACGTTATTGTTCTAAAACATTCGTGGAATAGTTCAAATTGCCTTTCTCTGTGCGTTTTAATTGTTATTAGTAAATATTTTAAAATAGATCCTAAATAGCGTTAATTGCAATAATGGAAGCATCGGCATCATCCACTGAGCAGCAAAAGTATATGGAGATTCTCGCCGAAGGCAGTACTTCCGTGGAAGATGGATTTGTTCTTTGTACCATCGATGCAACTAACGCGTGCAAATACCGGCAGAAATCTGAGAAATTTGACGCTGGAAATTTCATCAGACACCTTCAGACAGAGCATTTCATCTTGGCCAAGTCCCGCGGATTATTGAAGGATGAGGCGGAAGTACCATCCAAGAAAAATAAGGTTTAAAAAATAAGAGGTTGTATCCAAAATAAGACCGTATATTTGACGTACAATCACGTGCTCGGTATCAATATTCGGCGACAGTATTAGGGAAACCACTTTTTCCCATCACGGAAACGCCTCGTTTTCTGATGACAAAAGTACGCATTTTCGTGCACAAAACGCACGGAATTGTTGGTTTATTCAATAGATAATAAAAAAGCGAAAATTGATTGGAGGAATTCCTTGCTTAAATGTTCCAATCGCGAGATATTCGTGATCAATCATATTCGAGATTTAAAACAAAATTTCTAGCGTCCTGGAAAAAAAACCTTATCTTAATTCGAAGTGTTTAAAAGGTCATGTGGTATTCAGTCATTGCGAGAATTTTTATGTACCACTTAAATACTTTTACGCATTTGACCACAAAGTTTTGGTTACTGGGTACATAATGAAAGAGCTTTGGGGTAATGTGGCTGGTAGCAAGGCGAGCAAACGTTCCATGAAAATTAACTCTTAAACAACAATAATTTATGATTTTCCTGAAACGGACCGTTTTGTCGTGATGGTTGAGTTATGCTGAGCTATTAGGGTGTTCAACACAGGTTAGGCTGGCGAGCTTGGAACGAGGATGACGAGCTTGACATACATGACTCACAGCGACTCATGTGTGCTACAGCTCAGCTCACTGCTTGCGGGCATCCTTATGTTGTGTACCGGAGAACAATGTTCAACGCCACGCGCCGAAAGCACTGCTGCTGCTGCTGCTGCTGCTGATGACGACCGGCCGGACATCACCTCACATGGTGATTGAATAAACACCGTTCGGCGAGACCGGATGGAAATCTGTGTTAGGGAAAGCGCTTTTTGCAGGCAATCGGAGAAAATTTGATCACAATTGCAACAGTTGGACATTTGTGTAATTTTCAATAATAACCTATTGAAAATTGATAGTGTCCTTTTTCACAGATTTGTAGAAAAATTTCAAATCGATTGGCTGAATTAAAATCCATTTGCTATTGACAGAGACCACCTGACCACTTTTCGTAACACGGTCGATTTTGGTCTTTTTTTAAATTGCACCCTTTTCTGAAATTGCATATGTTGCCGAAAGATATAATTCTACATAAAAAATGATTGCCATTGACAGGCAAACATTTATCGAAGCTATTTTGAAGCTGGTGACCCTGCATTATGTTCCGCTGCACTGCGTTGAATGGGAAGGATTTTAGCTTCTTAGCGTGAGCATGAATCGGCCGAATCTTGTAAAACACCTTACAGTTGCTGATAGGAAGATAAAATTCGCGATCAAGATAAATGGAAAGGGTAAGCTTGTGTGCCTGAAAATTGACAGCGCTACCAAAGATGAATACTAAGATGAAACTGTCGGAAGAAAAACTTTCTATTTTAGTGTCCTCTTTTACGGTCCGTTTCATCCAATGAATACCCCCCGTATTCAAGGTAATTTTGTGGTTTTGCTGTCCCCTCGGTAGAGATGAAATTTTGCGCTCATTTTTATCAAAACAAACACACCAAAATCAGAGGTGTCCCATTTTTTAATTACTCGATTAACAACTAATCGATTTTTTTTTTATTCGCTGTGCTGCCATTTTTCCACCAATGAGAGTGCAGCACATGTTTGAAACAATCGGTGATGATCCTCTGGAGAAGTTAATGCTTATATCGGCATGATATAACCGATTACAAATATTTTACTTTTCGGTTCGTTAATCGATTAATCGATAAATCGAATGAAAATCGGCCATCACTAGATGAATGTGAAACATCAATTCAAATATATGAACCGTACATAAATAATGACACAATTTGAAAGGGACCGGGGCTTATCACAAATTACGTCCACACGGTAACTGAAATGAACACGAGCGTTCACCGCCAGAATTACCGAACAGGATGACCATAATAAATTTTTATATAGCGGAAATGAAGGCTTCGGCATGACAGACTATTTTCGGCAACCCAAATTGAAACGGTAATATCACTGGATTTTCTTAAGAAAACACTCCGCTGAATGCATTCAAAGTATTCTTTAGGCTTTCAGCTTCAATTTGATTATACTTTTACCACTGAGAAAAAGCAATCTAGCAGGGTTTTCTGAAATGAAACACACGCACCACAAAACGCTGCTGATTTCGAGTTGCCGATGAAACCACAGCTGTTGAACACGCAGCTCAAATAGAAAGGTTGGCGAATAAAAAGAGGTTGCCCACAATAGTCGCTCTCACTAGAGAAGATTGGAGCTTTGTAAAAGTGTTTCAATACAGTTTTTGACAATTCTTTCGACTGAAATTGTTAAGGCCCACTCACATTAGATCCGGATCGGACGCGTTGCGACAAAGTGACAGCTAAATCTATTGTCTAACTGTCAAATTTACGTCAACGCAACGCAAACGGATCTAATGTGGGTGGCTCTTTAGAGCAGCTGGCGGCAAAAGATTGTAAACAAACCAATACTGTATATGTGTGCGTTCCTTAGAGAAAAAGGCTATAGAAAGATGGTAGCTGCATAGGTTACCGAGAATACGTAAATTCCCCGATTTCCTTCATTTTGGCTGGGCTTTTCATGCAATTAAAATTTTGACAGTAATCCAAAATTTCAGTCGCATTCTGTTTATGTGAAGAAATTGTTGGAAGTGCGTTGGTTGACAAAATATTTTCTTTATTACTATTTACCAGAATATCTGTCGCATTCTGATGAGAAGGCGAAGAGATTTCTGCAAGACTACAAAGATACAAATTCTGAATTTTAATTGTGATGTAAACATTCATTCACGTAGACTTGTATTTCATTTCACGCAACCGAGCAACTTGCAAACAATGTTGTTCACAAAGATGGGCTTTTGTATACAATATTTGCTACATTGCATGAAATGTGTCAGAACTTTACATGATATATAATGTAAACGTATATTATATGTGACGCTCCATTTATGTGCATCATATTGAACAGAAATTTACACTACTTTTTCGAACTGTGTGGATAAGAACGCTCGGTATGACTGCAGGTCTTCTAAGGCGTCATTTCGTGAAATTCCAAGTTCTTTGTGGACGTCCAATAAAATTTCGCGTAGAAAATTGATGTTTGTTGGCAGGCCCTCAACTACTAGCATTAAAGCTGCGCTGATTGCGGTGATTCCGCGAATACAGGTGGCAGGTGGCTGGTCATGCAGGAATGATAGGTAGGACCTCACAGTTGCATACAATATATAGAATGACATGTCTCATAAATCTATAATGTAAACTCAATTTATATGCATCATAGTAACGTAAATGTACACTACTTTTTTTTAGCTGGCTTTTTCATTTTCTTTTTCCTGAAGGCGACGGGAACGCCGTTTGATGTCATATGGAGTCCAGTCGCGTTTCCATATTTTTTTTATTTCCCAGCATTTGCCAGCTGTGGGCTGGTTCGTCACCGACGTTCTGTAGTTCATTTTCTATGTTGTTACATGCAATAGGATTGCAAGTGTGTACTGCTGCAGAATTTGTTTTCGCCATTTCTTCCATAGGTATGTGCTTTTACATAGGAAGCTAGAATAGCATTTGAGTCCGATTTGGTGTTCTTGGTGGTTCTTAATTTCCGTAATGAATTGCGGAATTAGGTCAATTGAGTGCACTGTTGCTGTTGTTGTTGATGTGATGGCTTCTACTGCTGCTGCCGAGTTGACTGCCTTTTCTACAGCGATACAGGCGTCTGCTGAAGGTGCGTCCAA